TGCTGGCAGCAGATCAAGTACTGCGCAGATATCTCCAGCTGTAGAAGTCCCATCTGCAGCTTCAGGCTGTCCCTTTGCCTCATTCATTTCTTTTTCTTTAATTGCAATTGAGGCCTCCTCAGCAGCATTTTCAGATGGTTTATCATCAGCTACTGCTGTTGAGACAAGCTTACAGCTTGCAGTAGTTGCTCCTATTTCAGCCTTCACTACATTGTTTGGGAGGTCTTCACTGCTTATTTCTCCCACATCTTCTGTCTGCATTTCTTGCTCTTTACTCTCTTCCTTGCTACTGGAGCCCACATTGATTGAGCACTCACAATAATAGTAACCAGATTCCTGCTTCTTCTTATGCATGGCACAGAGATCAATTTGATGGAGGACCTCTGTGCCAAAGTGGCTGTCTTCATATTCCTTATACAGATCCGTACTAATTTTCCTGAAGCCCTATTTATTGAAAGAGCAATATGACATGATATGTATAATATATGTGCACAAATACAGAGGCACATTAGGAAGGTGTATCAAGAATTATTTTAACAAAACCCAGCAAAGAAAAAACTGCCCTCCCTCCACCCCTGATTTGGGCAACAGCATCAACTTCATGGTAGTGTTTAGGTTGAAACTGAGAAAAGCCAACCATTACAAATTAAAGTTATAGAAATCTTAGCTTTTGCCCAATCCTCCATCTACCCCACCCTCCTCAAGAATAAGAAACATGCCAAAGATACAAATTCAGATCAATTTAACCTACTGTTATATAAATGCATCCACCTAATTTTAGATACTTCAGGCAAGTTCACAGCCACCATATATATAATTATTCTGAATTGCCTCTAGAAGGAATTGCTTGATTTCACTTAGAGTTTACCTTACTCAGGTCCATCTTAAAGCTGTCTTAACAGACTGAAAAGTTAACCCTTCTCCTTGGTGCTCACTCTCCACAACAGTAATTAAATTGTGCGCAAAAGACAGGTTAGAAATAGAGCTCATGCACCTTCATTCCTGTAAGCAAAGTAATGCTCAAAAGAAATTTAACTCTGTGACTAACTGGGGAAACAAGCTTATTTCAGCAAGCCAGAAAAGAAAAATAAAACCTCAGCAGCTCTTAGATAGCTACCAAGCACTGTCAGTATCTCAATGGCTAAATGCTACAACAGTCACAGCACACAACTGAAAGGGTACATTCCTAGAGATGCATTTTTAAACACTGACACATTCTTTTCAGACTAAGAAAGGTTTCTTCTATTGCCATAACCAAAGCACATGCTTAGAAATCATTGCAATATGACTGTCAAGACCAAAAATCAGCAGCTCCTCAGATTTGTTTTCTCCCCCTCAATAAGTTTGGGCATAGCAGCACTAGCTGCCCTGTACATGTGTCACTGGGGATGAGTGACCAACCCAACAATTCCATTGTTCCAGGCTTTTAATTCTGACAACAACAGGCTTCCAATTTAGCCAAGGAGCTCCCACAAAGCATTTAGCCTATAGCAAACCACATATGCTAGAGGCACATATGGAGATGTAATGAAGGACAGATGAACCATTAAGCAACAGAATAGTCTCCACCTTCTCCTAACTTAATGAGTATGTGAGCTAACAAGGCTCCAAGGAGCTCCTTGCAGCACATTGCCTCAAAGTATTCTCAATCAGTTTGTTCAGCCCTGCTCCCAAACACCAGGGGAAGAAAAAAAAAGAAAGCATTTTTACAAGATTTCTTCCTCATAATGACAGACTTATTAGCAGGTGGGTATGTACAGTTCACAGCATGGAGGTTGTGAGAGGACAGTCAGAGTCACCTGGATAGAAGTAGATATAAATAGCTTCACAACCGAATACATCAAACCATTAGGCACTGCTGCCCAAGGTGATTAAAACACTTGAACATTTAAATAAACCAACAGCATGCTTTCTGTGCCCCAGAAATACCTATGTGTCAGTCAGAGGGAGGCTGCTCAGGAGCCGGGAGCTACATGTCACCTAAATGCCATGAGGTTCAAGTTCTGCTGAAATGCAGAGACACACCACGCATGGGCTGTTTTCTGGGTAATTCAGGAGGATAATGGAAACTTGAGCAAGGTCACATCATTGAAGATAACTTACCAAGCAGCCAGAAGAGGGCAGGATTAGGACTGCCCTTCCATTAAAACGCACCAAATATTTTAACACAACTATGTGACTTGTTAATTCTTGTTAAATAACAAGTATGCTCTCTCACAACCCAGGGTAGCTATTTTCACACTTCTATTTTCACCAAGTGAATCTACTTAAAGCAGCATTAAAGGAAACAAACAAACATTTTCCACTTTAGCACAGAGGCACTTGATCCACCACTTTGGTCCAGCAGAGGTGAGATCAGGCAGTGCCAGCACTAAAGGCTAACAGCCCACACTGCAAAAATTCTTTGCCTGGAAAAGGCTCTTACTACAAAGTAATGAAGTAGATTCTCTTAAGAGGTGAACTGTTCCCTTTTGGCTTATTGGAAAGGTAGAGATCAAAATACCTGAAGAACCCATGTTTATTTATGCCAGGGTCACACTTCCTATTTTGAACCTGATCTTCAAACAGCACATACTGCTCCTTTGGTAGCTATTCTGAATAAAAAGCACACAATCCAAGATCTCTCCAGCCTCTTGAGATATTTAGACACACAACCAAAGCCAAAGATGCACAACTTCACAAGGTGAAAGTTTACAATTGTATCAGTTTTAAAAAGAACCAGCTCTTTCCCCACAAATGAGAACCCACCAGTATCACCACATACCTCTCATTAACAAAGTATGCTTGAGACAGAAAATATAAACTGCCTTAGCAATTACCTCTTAAGCTTCATATAAGAACTTCAACTGTGTGAACAGCACCCTTTCTACAATGAAACAGTTATTTATGGTATAAAAAAAGCAATTACAGCCAGTAGATGGCATCATAATAACTTAAGTGATATTTGGTCTTATTCATACTTTGGCATCTTCTAGTGTTTAGGAAGGCTGATTTCTCTTCTGCACTATTTAGGAATTGGATACTATAAAAGTAAGCAGTTTCCTCCTTTTATTTATACTATATTTTGAAAGAAATGCAGTAACTGGACAGTGAATGGTCTTTGAGGTTATGTCATATGTCTAGGGTTAAGCCTTACTAACCTCAGGGAGATTTGTACATGGACTTACAGAGCTCACATGCCCCTAATAATCAACTCAACATATGGCCCTACTCCAGTTTCACAGTCCTAATCTGCAAAATAATATTTTAGGGGCAATCATTTTATTGTGAAAACAAATTTGCATAGAAACAAGTAATGCTTGGTAAACAAGGGAAGAGCAGAGAATATTGTCTAGCTGAATTCCAGGAAATTTTTTGACACTGTTTCCTGTGAGATCTCCATAGAGAAGGCTGATGAATTATTAGCTGGCTGAACAGTGAGGTGGATTGAAAATTGGCTGAACAGCCAGTTCCCTATGGCGGTAATTGGTGCCACAAAGTCTAGTTGGAGGCTGGTAACTAGAGATATACACAAGGGGCCAGTACTGGGTCCAGAACTGTTTAGTATCTTCATTAATGATCTAGATATTGGGGCAGAGTGTACCCTCAGCAACTTCACTAATAACAAACTGGGAGAAATGCCTGATTCACTAGAGGGTACTGCCAACCAGAGGTATCTCAATAAGCTGGGGAAATGGACTGATGGGAACTTCATGAGGCTGAACAAGAAGCACAAAGGTCAGCCATAGGGGAGGAATGAACCCAGGCACGAGTACAGGCTGATAGCTGACTGGGAAGGAGTTTTGCAGGAAAAGGACCTAGAGGTCCTGGTGGACACCAGGCTGACCATGAGCCAGTCGTGTGACTTGCAACAAAGGCAGCCAGTGGTATCCTGGGCTGCATTAGGAGGAATGTTGCCAGCAGACTGACAGAGATAATTCCCCTTGGTTCAGCACTGGTGAGGCCACACCAGGAATACTGCATCCACTTCTGGGCATACCACTTGATATTCTAACATTCAAAGATGTATACACTTGCATATTTATATATATATATGTACACAATGAGACAGCATACATAAATCATGTTATGCAAGATTAAGCTATATTTAGTGCTAGAGATCAAAAGAGGAGAGCATGCAGGAAATTAAAATTCTATTTTTTAATTTTAAATTTCATAGTAAGAGGAAGTGTGAAAATACTCCAGCCAAGAGTCAACAGTAATTCCTACATACCTACTGTATGTTTCTTTTGCATTAGACATTGCAGATGCCTCTGCTCATGAAAATCCCTACAGGCCATATAAAAGAAAGAGCCTCCAGCACAGAACTATCAGTCCTAGCCAACTTTGATTTTATCATGTATACAAAAGGCTAATATCAAGTCAATACAAAGTACTTGAACAAGGTCATTTTCTTCAGCTATTATAGCTTTTTCTGTTTCCTTTCTGCATGCTCCTCTAGTGTTTCAGGTTTGCAATATATTGACCTCATAAATACAAGTATTATTCCTGGAAACAAGCTGGACAGTATTCCACTGGGAAATGAGCAATCTAATCAGAGTTGGTTTTTACTTTAATTGTTTGTGATAAATCCCATACAATGCTGCAGTAAAGGTTAGGAAAGCACATCACACATTTCTAATATAAATCAAAGCACCAGCCTGACTTCCAACATGACATTAATCTTGTTCTGAGGTAAATATTAGTCAGAAGACAAATATTGCTCAGAAGCCATCCTGCCCTATGGAAACAGCTTGACATTGTTTTTGTGCAGATTTGACCAGCCACAATGGAAGGGAAGCAGTCTGTACTCTACAAGGGAGCCCTACAGAGTGTTAACAACAGATCTCATTTCTTCCAGTCAGATATGAACAAACAACTGTGTTGCCCAGCTATATATAAGCTTTGTTAAATAAGAGAAGTTATGTTGTTCTCTGGTTGCAATCCCAAAGATTTCATTGAAGGAAAGTCAATCACTAGAACCAATTCCAGGAAAAATATTCTTTCACCCTGTTACTTACCCTTCTTCGCAACCTTGATGCTTTAGAGAGCTTCAGGAAAGTTAGATGTGGTTTGAAGTCCTTACTTCCTGAAATGTCTAGATTCATTTCAATAAAGCATTCTTCCACAGCTTCTGGAAAAAGATAATATAAGCAAGAAATAAGTAGTAGTGGGGAGGTAGGGAAAAATATTTACAGAGAGGTTAGACAAAAAGCCACTATCCCTGTCTTAAACAAGACAGTTAAAACATACCCCAGGTAACCAGTTGCTGCACTATCACAGGCAACAGAAAAATTTGAAAAAAGTACTCAAACCCAAAGTTCTGCATGACATAAAGACATCAGTTGTAAACCTGAGACTAGATCCAAACTTTTGTGTTTGTGTTCTGTGTTTGCAACACAATTCTTTCAGAATTCACAAATTCCCTATCAATGGTGAGCTTGAGAAAGCACCTGCCCATAGCAGCCCTGCCAGGAACAAGATCCAGCCACCACCAGTGGCTACAGCTAGGGTCTGTGGCAGAACAGATTCTCCCCAGTTACTACAAACAGCAATGCAAGAAGCAAAGTATATAGCAAGGTAAGGTTTGCATAAGGCAGATCCCTACAAGTCAGGTAAAAATAGGCGTGTTTTGTTCAACAGTTGTGCTTAAACAGTGAGAAACCTGAGACTGGTAATTCCAGTGAGAAGTAATTCCAAAATTACATTTAAAGCCTTGACTAAGGCTGAAGTACCCCCCAGAATTTTTTCTTATTGACATAGATCTTTATACCTTGATTATATAAAGCAGATAAAATGAGGAGGAGGGGGGAGGGGGTGGGAAGAGAATTAAAAAAGAAAAAACAGCATTTTAAAATGGAAACCTGCAGATTTTGTAGCTCTTCTGGTCAGATCCCCCCATCTTGAGGCCTATTTTTGTTACTGTTCAATTGCTTAAGCACTGAAAGAAGGAGGATCAATTCTGAAACTGTGTAAAAAATAGCATATTACATACCAGATGAGGGCCTTTTTTGAAATTGAAATCCCTCTGCTTCCATTTTGGTTTTCCACCTATCAGGTAGTCTAACTACATGCGTGTTCACTAGTTTGTATATGCATTTGTATCAAGGCCAGGTCTCTGGCTTGGAGTTTAGCTAATTAATAGTTTAAAATGTTTCTTCTCAGAGTATTTATGAAGGAACAGCAGCTGGGGCTGTCTGATCACTTTGCCAAGGCAACAGCTTTTTATATTTTCCATCTGGAATACACAGAGAATAGGATCCAGTTGTCCAAACAAGCATCTAATGTCCTTTTAGGTGCCTTACTGGATGTCCACCTGGCCTCCAGCTGCTGCTGCAGAAGGTACAGTCCAACTGTAGGTCTGGTGTGAGTGCTCAAATGCTTTAGGACATCTGAAAATTGTCCTAGGTGATTATGGTTAGGTATCAAACCACCCCTAAAGTGCCCCTGGTACTTTGTCAAATAGAACACATTAACATGAAGAATTTCTGCATATTAAGTCTTTTTGTTCTCATGCCAGTTGGTCAAAGCACAGCAAGCCCCAGAGAAAAAACACAGCAGAAGAGTGTCTAAGTTTCTTCTAGAAAAAGTAGCCCTTCCGCATGCATTATCCAGCATGCAACCTCCCCAAGCTGCATAAAAAGAAACCAGGTAGCTATTAACCTAAGAAAGGAAATCTGAAATCAGTATCAGAATCCAGCCTCCAGAACCAGCAGGAAGGGATCAGAACTTCATCAGAAAAGCAGATGATGGAAGAAAGATCAAGGCCAGCAATCATCTTCAAGAATCAATATAGGAACAAGGCTCCTGGATGGTGTGCCCTGTCCATGCCAGGTTGGCTCTCAATTTTCCAGCCACTGTCTTCTCTAGCTCATATGAAAAATATCCTACTCATGTTCCAAGACATCTTAAGCAGTATCTTTTCTCCAAAGTGGATGAGGTCACTAGCAGCAAGATAAACCAGGTAGCGCCCAGAAATTTCCAATTAATTGCAGTTAATTGATCTAGAGATAGGTTAACTCCACTTTGAAAGTGAAGTCCATGATGTAGCACCAAAAACAGATAGAGGACCAGTCACCTGGACAATATCAGGAATACTTCAGAGGCTAAAAGACTCAATTAGAGCAGGCAGAACTCTTAAACTTTCTGACAAACCATCAATAAGGGCATGATGAGGCAGAGACAGCTGACAGGAGTGTCTTGACCTTTGCCAGCCAAATAATTGGCCCATCATGCCGCTCAAAAAGACAACATTTAAACTTCTCACCTAGCTCATGACAACCAAAAAACATTGACCAAAAGGTAAAGAAAAAAAAAATCCCTATTTATTGTATAATAATTAATTCAATTGCTTTACTGAGAGAAGGGGAGACAAAACCAATCTCTTTGGAGATGTCATTGAAAGGATAGGCTTTGATACACATTTGCATAATTCCCAGACTCATTAAGTTATAGAAATGGTCAGAAGTTATGCAGAATAGAACAACACTGGAAGCTACAACTCTCTGAATAGCAAAATCATTGTTAACAGCATTAACAGCTTGAAAACTGGCAGCTTGTCTCCCAGTCAAGGAATTATTTCAGGCAATCAGTGAACAATCATATTGCATTAAAATCACAAGTACTGGCAGAATATTCCCAGGGCTTGCAATCAAAATTTTTCTCCTCTATCTAATTAGGGGGTTCAGATCAAAAGCTAGATATTAGGTTTCCTAAACCCTGAAGATGCATGTTACCCAGGCAGAGAACATGAAGGATCTGCCACCCACTATTGCAATGGCTTTTAAAGCTAATGCAGGTCCAAGATGCTATTTAAAGAGCATCATAGCATGCATTCTGCAGAACCAAAATTAAACACTTATGATGGTGATGAAACAGCATGATAAAGATCGACCTTGTATGGTATGACTCATTGGGAATAAAATTCTGAGTTAAGCAAGACAATGAGTCCAGGGAAACCAGTTCCTTCCAGATGAGGAGTGAGGTACCCATTTCTGTATCTTTCAGGAGAGAGGAAAGAGCCAAGGCAGTGCTGTCAAAACAGTCAAATCAGGCATCAAAAGAATCAAGCGGCCCCTTATTTCAATGGCACTGAATTGTATATATATTGTAGACCAGCATGTACCAAATATGATCTTACAGGAAATTGCATCATCTGGCTTCTACTTTGTTAACTTCCAGTTAAAGCCTTGAGAAGAAGCAGTTTGTGCATGAGCAGGTTTGTTGAGGTTGTAATCCTAATATCTAGGGACAACCTCAGAAAAGCACAGCTGTTTTGGGTCAAAATTAGCTTTGGGATGGATGGAACAAGAAGAGAAGTGAAGCTCAGAGTCAAGCAAGAGGTAATGGATAGTCAAGTGGCTAATTTTATATAGCTGAGGCAAAGAAGCGGTTCATAAAGGGCATCCCCTGTCTTATTATAACTCTACTTAAGAGATAAACAGGAGGATAAGAGAGCAGAATTATAATATCAAGCCTGAGAACTAGAGGAGGTTGGAAACAGTATCAACAAAAAAACCGACTGCTCTGAGAATCATAGTCTTTGAAGTGTACAGTGTCCTTGTATTGAATGACTCTTTGAGAAGCATTAGTTGAATTATGCTTCCTTTTTGCTTAGTATGAAAATAGCAAGGAAAAATAATGTATATTGATTATTTTTGTTCTGTTGGAACGGAAGCCCAGAACACAGATTAGGTTCTGCATTGCAGGCTAAAGCAGGTCCTAAAAGCAGAACTGGGTAGGGAGGAAGAAGAGAGTATCAATGCCTTCTGAAACTGTACTCAGATGCAGGTAAGCAGATCAAAAATCTGGAACATCTCATAAACCCTTCAGTGCCTTGGGAAATTAGAGCAGAGAACAAGCTATCCTTACACTTCTGTTTCATCTTCTATAGTGGAAGCAAAATATTGATTTGCTGGTGTTATACATGCATATGCAGAAAAATACTAATTTTTGTGACCTTCCACCCCAGAGGTACTTGCAATTTCATGTATATTCCAGTTTAAAGGAAGTTCTTTTATACTCAGAGGGGGCCAACACTTAATAGGCTTTCAGATTATTAGAATAAGCACAGCCTCAGCTAGAAGTGCCACTTTGAACACTGTACACACCTCAGGCCTGTGAGATTCCAGCTGCAGAGAAGGTTAAGTTAGCCTGTGTGATCTTCACATGAATGTCCGTGCATCTCACCTGTTCCATACTGCTACAGACAACCTATTTTAGGCCTACTGCTTTGCAGGAACTCAATTGATGGCTTCATATTTAACAATTAAGAAAGAGAGGAGATGAAAGGCAGTACATCACAGCTGTGCACAACAGCTTGGGCCAGTGCTTAGAGGAGCTGATGGACTCTACAAACTGGTTTATAAAATAGAGAATAAGGTATTGTACTTACCTGCAATTCTGTTAAGCATTTCCTGGTCTTCCTCCAACATTTTCACATATAGCACTTTGTTATTAAATTCTCCAATCCCATGGAATGTCAAATTAAGGTCTTTACCCTGCAAGATGTCTTCCACTTTAGTCTTGCTTTGCTTCAGTGCCAGAACAGCCCTTAAAAATAATCAATATATAAATGCTGAAAGTTATTATGTTTTTTACATGTGGAAATATTGTTTTATTTTAATACCTTAATCTGACCACTCTGCAACACTATGTAACATATCACAGGCACACTGTATTTCATTGTTAATTTTTTTTTAACAGTTAGAAAACTGTAAATAAACTACATCTTTCACTTCAACCTTAGTTTATGTATTTAGATGTGAGTTTTGTTAGTGAACATTCAAAATATTAATCCATAAAAATTATGAATATATGCTACTGAAGAATCAAAAGTCATTAAACTGAACTTCCATTTGTGTCATATAGTTTAAAACTTTATCACTGTCATTTTCAACTGTCTAATTTTATTCTTAAACTAAAACAAATTCATTATCCCACATGAAGCTCAATTAGCATTTTTCTCCATTATATCCTCTTATTCCAGCCTAGGCAAAAAAATTTCGAATTGATGGTTATGTTCTTAGCTCTGTATCCCATGTTAATAAAGTTTAGTTATGCACACCAAAATCTCAAAAATTGAATTATCCAAAGACACTAATACTTCAAATTAAAACATTTTTCTTAAAGACATACAAAAAGTATAACAGTTAAATTTCTAATTGTAGACACCAGAATTCCAACTAAACACCTGCTGAAGTTTTACAAGTGCCCTTCTTTGCCCTGGTGTCTCAGGAAGGGGAATCCTGTCAGTCTTCAAAGTTTGACCAGAAGCCTTCTAACTAAGGCTTCATACTCCTAACAAACTGCAACATGACTAAGGACTGCAGGATGCCATCCCATAGGTTTCTGGGCCTCCTGTAGCTACATTTCCTTTATCATTACACCTAGAACAAGTTGTGACTGCATTCATTCCACTCTTTAAAAATATTGGACCTGTGTAACATACCAAAAGAGACCAGGCAGTAAAACCCACATAGCACAAACTAATGCCCTTTGGAAAACCTCTTTAATGCATACAGAGGTCACTTCAGCCAACATTATGAACAGTCCTCACTACTACATTGGAGTTACTTCAGCTATAATAGCATAAGAGCAGCTTCTTTCCAAAACTTATGGGAACTCAACGATAAAGATACAGCAAGGACAGGACTGAAGTTGGAAAGAGTGAATTCTTTGCAGAGGATTTTTATTTTTCTACCTTAACAAGTATGGCTAATCTAGCCCTTCACTTAAGTTCATAATGTTTAAGCAAAAATTAAATACTGCTAAGACAACTTCTCCCATAAAATGGTTTCTGTTGCAAGGGACCTTAAATATAATCTAGTTCCAACCTTCCTGCCATGCATAGGGACAACTTGGAGTAGACCAGGTGACTCAAAGCCACATCCAGACTGCTTGAATATGCCAGGGATAGGCCAATCCACAACTTCTCTCTGTTCAGGGCCTCACTCTAGTAAAGAATTTCCTATCAGTATCTAATCTAAACCTGCCTCTTCCCAGCTTGAAGCCATTCCCCCTTGTCCTATGTCAATGTAAAAAGTTCTGCTCCAGCTCCTGCCCTAAGATTTGAGGGGCTTCATTCCTACTGTGAGGGGCTGGGCCAGCTGTATAACAGTGCTGCTAGCTTGAGAAGTGAGAAACATTTAAGCTCAAGGAAGTCTTTCATATGACAGCACAGAGCAGTAGCCACTGAACTACAGCCTCATTTAGAGGAGCTATGGAGGTAGGTAAAAGATACAGGATGAAAAACATTTGGCAAGGCAGATCTGCTTTTCATTAGGTATGTGCATTATTTTTACATTACAGACACACATCCACTCTTAAGTTCATTAACACCACTTAGCTCCACTCACCTCCCTAACCAATTGATTCCCATTTTGATTGCTGCTCTCAACTAGCTTCCTATTCTCTTGGACATCAGCCTGCCCAGTCAGCAACACTGCTACAGGGTTTTATTACTGAATTACTGTACACTGTCTTCTGTATGTCTCCTTAGCCCATATAACACTCATTTTTTTTCCTCCCTTCAGAAACCCTAAAAAAATCTCTGGAATGAAAAAATAAAGCAGGTAATTTTAAAATAAGGCACATACAAGCCTGGCATATGCATCTTAATCATGCTTAACTACTGCTGCCTATATGGGCAGAAGAGGTTTTGTCTAGTCATATTGGGGTTTTTGACACCTTTCCAGCTAGGCATTCTACTTTACACCCAGCAGATCCTGTGTGACACTCATATAGTGTTGAGGCCTGTTTTTTGTTCCCGTGCTGATATGTGCCAGGATTTCTGGAGAAAGGGCTGTTCTCATCAAGTTCCCACCTATGCCACATGATGACTTCCCAGGCACATAAGGGCCTTTCCTTTCTGCCTCCCTGTGTCCAGGAGTTCCAGGTTTCCCAGTGTGGTACAGTAAGGTAAGGCTTAGAGAAAAAAAAAAAAAAAAAAAACATGCAGCAGACTGGCATTATTTTCTGGACCTTTCTATCAATTCTAGCCTTCCTGACCACAGGGCAGCTTTCCTTAGTCATCTGTCAATAGCTCCATCTTAATTCACGGGGCCCCAGTGACAGCCCACAGTTTCCATTCAACAGGAGAGCAGCTTGGGAAGCAACTAGGCAGATTTTTTTGTTGTTGTTGTTTTCTTCTTAATACAACAGCTAGCATTTTCCAGCTGACAAAAAAGCTGATCTGAAAAGCTGTGGTTTCTCAAAAGACAGCAGCTCAGGAAAGCTTATATCTGTTGAGCTAATTTGTGGTAGTAACACAGTAAGAAAGCAGTAATACTATTTACAACCACAGAACTTTTTCTCTTCACCCCATGGCAGATAAGAAAATTTCAATCTCTGATGCACAGTGAGATTTTTGTAAAGATCTTTCCCCACAGGTACTGAAAGCAAGCCAGAAAATGATCAAAAAGTTTAAGAGAAATTGTGTGCTGGCCCTAATAAAACATAATGATTCACAATAGCAGCAGTAAGGCTACCACATTTACAGAAAAATTAGCTGCTCTTAAATTTGGCAGGATTCTTACTTTTTCACTTCTTCTGTTCCCAGAAGAGCTACTATTATAGTAAGGTGCATTGTTTGAACAGGAAGAAGAGCCCTTGACAGGTCAGGTTCTTTAGAGACTATGAGTTCTTGAACATCTTCAATTCTGTCCAAAATCTGCAGTGGAGTAAACAGGGGAAAAAAATAAATTTTCATTTTGAAATGCCTATACATTACTGGAAAAATTCAGAATACCAAAGCTTTATACAAACAAAAATGTGACTCTGTGTTTAAGCCAGGAACTCAAAGCCACCTTCCTCCCCCTCCCCACCCAAGATTTATCATGTAGCAACTTTCAGTTTCATACTTGATTTCTCAGGAATTGATTTATCTGTTTTCCTTTTTTAAAGCCTACAGGCTAAATTCATAGCTCTCCTGTGAACCAGAAGCCCCATATCTTAAAGTAGGTATTAATCTAACCCTAAGAATGTTATTAAAGCTCACAGCACTGTGTAAATATTAATGGGATCTTCATGCAGTTGTCAGTTGTTAATAGACTGTGGAAATTAAATGGCATTTCCATAATTAATCTTATGCCATTTTCTGATTACAAGTTTGATCACAGATTAAACTGATATCTCTTCCCAAAAGGATAATGTAGCAGCAAAAAAAGTAGATTGACTGGGTAAATATGCCATTTTCTGAGCTGGTGTTTCTCAGAACTGAGTGGCCAGTTTCTCACTCTTGTGGATCTATCTGTGCCTTTAAACAATTGACTCCAAAGATTTTTCTTTTTTCAATATGTGCTGTAAAGGCTTATAAGCCAGTCATGGGAACAGGCAAGAGAGAGAAGAATTAATTTGCGCAGGTACTAAGTATCTGGTGTAATCTCAAATTACAAAGAAATCATTTATAGATTTTCAGATTATTTCAGTAAGAAAACTCTGCCTTACATGCCTAGGTGCTCACACATATTAGAGCACCCCTTTATTCTTAGATAGATCGAAACAGCTGGGTCAATATGCTTTTGTTCTGCAGTCTTTCTCCATAAAGCCTAGCAATCATTGTGCAGCCCAGTAAATAGTCCACAACGTGCACATTAGAAGAGATTAGCATAGCACATTCCCAATAAACATGAGGATAAAAGCCACACACAATTAAAATAACCATTTGAAGACACAAACTCCCTAAATTCACCAACCTTATGGTACATTTGTCACTGTGAAAAACACAGCACTGACTCTACATTAAGTTAATTCCTACTACAACTGAAGCACAATTTATTGCAGCCTTCTATTTAGAGCATATGCTTAGACTGTGAAAACATTGAGCAGGAATCAAGCCATCAGGCTGTCTGACCACACAAACTACAACTTTTGCTTCAACAGACTAAGCTAACTATTAACAGTAATTCTACAAAAGAGCCTCCTGTTGTTCTCCCTTACCCAATCTTCCCAAGAACATCCTTCAAATAAGAAAGAAGATGCTTTTTCCTTTCAGTTTGAGGTTTAGACATCTGGGAAGCTTAGTTTGAGTGGAATTCTTTCGTGTAGTTATTTAACTGTTACAGACCAGTGTTAATATCTTTTCTCACCTCTTCTTATCTTCACATATGATTCTTCACAACTTCCTGCTCCTACTCCCATGGGAACCATCTACCCTATCACTACATCTTTTTCTGGGGGGTTCATCAGTCTTTAGCATTTTTCTATAAATGCTGGGTGATTTATGGGATAGATGGTGGGTTTTGGGAAGTGAGGACCATGAAGGAAGCACTTAAAATGGAGTACTGAAAGCCTGAGACCATAACATTATTAGATTCAATCCAGTACAAGCCTGGTATCCAGTCTCTTGGAGCTCTGCTTAGACACCAAAGAAAAAAGGGCTGTGCACCCACCAGGACTGGAACAGAACTTTTCCTTTGTCCTTTTGAAAGGGAGAAAAATGTTGACAGCCCTAGGCCCTGCCACTTGGAGAGCTCTCTTAAATAATTAAGGCAAAATAATTATTCCTGAAACACTGACAGCA